GTTTCATCGACTTTATTTATATCCCTCTACACGACACGCTAAAGAGAATCCACTTCTCCACCCTTTTTCCTATTGCCCTTCGTTTACGAATTTTTCATCTCTCCTTTTCTGACGTTTATTTACGCCAGCTGCATTTATATTCGTTGCGCGTCGTCGCGTTTTATAGGCACTTCACGTAAGAACGGAATATCGATGTCTCTTACGTGGAGGTAATTCTACGAAATAATATGGAAACATTTATATACAGACACTAGAACCAAAGCGGTACCGCTATTTCCGTGGGGGTCGTTTGCCCGTAGCAAAGCGCGCCGGTGGGAGTACACTGGAAACAGAACTTTCCATAAATGATGGAAACTCGCAAATTTTCCGTTTGTTATTTTAATTAGAGCCTTCAGGCCATACTTAACGAGAATCTGGCTGTCTGCGTTTATATTGTGTACCTCTACAAAACGACAATCGAGCGTGGAGTATCGGTTTCTACATGACGCCCTGTAATCCGCGCCCCAATCGCGAAACAGAAAATTTCCACGCTGTGCATATTTCTTATTCGTCTACTTTCTTCGCTTTATAATTGTCGTCGCGAAAGATTATCAAGAATATGGCAATTTTTCTTCCTGTCTTTGTCCGTTGCTAAAAATCTACGGTTACGTGATATTAAAATATCACGAGGGAACATACGGTGGCGAACAAAAGTACCGGCACACGCTTTGAAACAGAATTAATTTTTTTTTTAATTGAACCAAACGATTTGAATTTTTCTGACGACGCGTAAAGAGAGAAAAAATTCTATCTTCCTTATTTGCGCATCAATTAATAGATTTCGTGGAAATTTATCGCTTAAATATTCATTAGAAGCCTAAAAGAAGAAGAATAAAAAGATGGTAAAAAATCACCTTTACCATTATCCTTCGCGATTCCGACCAACCGCAGTGTTTCGGAAAATTTTTTACACGTCACCAGGTAAATTGGTCCTGGTAATTCTTAAAAAAAAATTCAAGCTGTTTGGCTCGATCTTAAATAGCAGCTATTCCGTTTTAAAAGTTCTAGCGGTATTTTTACTCCTGATTGTACACGTGTATACATAAATGAAGAAACGCAGGAAGCGACTGGTAAAACGGTACTGTTAAATTTACTTTCCGTAAAAAGGATTTTTAGTTCGAAAAGCGTCGCGATAGAAAGGTGTACCGTAAAGAAAAAAAAGTCTCGACTGTTTTTTATAGTTTTTTTAGAATCAGTCGTAAAAATTTTTAGTCAGTCTTACTGGCTAAAAGTGGTACAGTTTTTTTTCCGTTACTTCGAAAAGGATAGTGGAACTAGTTTTTTGCCGTTAGAAGGAACAGTTAAAAAAGCAGCGGAGAAATAATTTACAGTGGTAACTTTTTACGTTTGGTCGCTTCAAGAAAGAAGATAAAACAGGAACCATCCTGTCAGCAAAATTTGTTCACCTATCATGTAAAAAATATACGCGACGATACAAACGTTTCAAACATTAAATTCAATGTTTTCTCGAAAACAAACGGTCCTGCTAGAAACTTAGAAAAATTCGTTACTTGGGAAGTTGACTTTTCAACTTCCTTTTTTCTTCAAGTAACGCTTTTTTCTCTTTAAGAATACGCATGCAAACAATTTTTAAAAAGTGTTGCTAGAATTTACGACGTTTTTTTACTGTAAAAAACCTTGGTAGATTTTTTTCACAAAATACATCACCTGAAAAAATGCTTACAATATTTCCCATGTATTATAACCTTTATGAACTCCATGTTATAGCTTTGACTTCGTTCGTACTACTGTACAATTATACCGAGTGATCCGATGTTTCTCGAAGTCGAAACTAATTCTCTGGGCTAGTATGAAAAATTACTCATACGTATATCCATCTAAATCTTTCGGATACTTTTCTTTCTATAAGATCTCAAATTATACCAATGTTCGTAGTTCTTAGATAATCATTGAAACACGTCCTATTAACCTTACTTCTAAAGATAATATTACGCGATTGATGTTACCGACACTCGGTACAATGTCAATATATAAAATTTGTTGTATGATAATTAACTAATACAGGATCGGAAAATCTATTACAACGGTTGCAAAAGATAGGCCGACACAAAGCCCGAGCAAGACGCAGATGGAGCCAATATTGATTAAATACTACATGGAATATTTTGAAATCTGATATTTTAATTTGTAAATAGAGCATATTATTCCCAGTGCGATGCATTGTGATGGCGGTGTCTGTAGGGTTCAGAAGGACCGCTTTTAATGACCCGGACGTGCGTGTATAGTTCCACCTAGCACTGTCGTATTCGATTACAACCTCTATGCTGTATACTCCATGCTCTCCGTAAACTCAAAGTAATTCTCTTTCCAATTCTTCCACTCCTTTCACCCTTTTCAAGTTCGGCTCACGTTACCATACCGATAGACTCGCGCTGATTTCTTCGATTACTTGCACGTACTTGCTCGCCTATGCTCCTTCAAATCACCTACCAGTTATCCCGATGTACAGCTGCCGGCTTTCTTTTCATCGTAACAAGTGCCCAGCGAATACTCAACATGTACTAACTGCGCTGAGGATAACGGAAACGAACGCCCTGATCAAAGTGACCGATAACATCCACGGAAGACACCTGGAAGTCGGAGTCATCCGAATCGCAACAGCCCCTGTTACTTCCACGCGACGTTCCAGGACCGCGCGAAAAAGTGCCGTTCTCCAGGCACCTGAAATCGGAAACGGGACCTGCCACTACGACAAACACGAGATAGCGTTCATCACAGCGACCTGTCGACAAAACGATACAAGGACACGACAGAGGCTGTATCGAGCAAAGCAATCGTCAGTGAGTCGACGTATCGCCGATTTCTCGTCGAATTATCGGACGCGACTCGTCCATTCGTTCGATAGCGACAAAATACGACGCAGTGCGGTACTTCATATCGAAAACCACGCCAGGCCCTTCCGTCTTCAACGAACCTCGACGCCTCGCCTCCGCTCGACGCGAGCAGTTGAAGGCGAGATTTGAGACGATGACCGAGCAAGGAGTGATGCGGCCAGTGAAAAGTCCATGGGCATCGTCTCTGCACGTTATACCAAAGAAGAACGAAGGCCTACGACATCGCGGCGACCGTGTGTTGAACGCCTGCATCGTACCGACAGGCATCCACCGCCGCATATCGAAGACGTCGCGTAACATCTGCACGGATTTGACAACAAGCGGACGGCGCTTTACCCCGCATCGAAACGACAAACCCGCAGATACCGAACTCTCTCGCAACCGCACTCGAAAACAGCAAAGAAGACAAAGCAAAGCAGAGGACAACTCAAATCATGTTGTTATTTTGCCTCGGAGTATCAAGATCGTTAGGATACACGTAATGTAAGAATAAATAAACTCCGAGCAAAACAATGTTGCCGCTACGTGTATAAATAAACGGACGCGATCGCAAAGAAGAGTTACGTTCAGTTGTCGATCAGTTATCAAACAGTTATCAACGAATTATCGATCTAATTAACGAGTCATTATCCTATTTTACGACTTATACACAGTACGAGCGTCTCAGCGAATATGGTCTGTATACTAATTTATTATTTTAAATATATTCGACGGTTTCAACAACGAGCAATCTCGTTCAATGAATCTCACGGTCAAACGTCGTCCTCTACACAAGTCCTCTACAGTTCTTTTACTGTCGCAGTATCGTAATGTTCTTTCCCTAAACTAGCCGAAATATATTCCGAAACATGCAGAAATAACTTACCAAGATATATTATTCTTCTTTATTGGCGTTGCGATTGGACATATATATATATATATATATATATATATATATATATATATATATATATATATATATATATATATATATATATATATATATATATATATATATATATATATATATATATATATATATATATATATATATATATATATATATATATATATATATATATATATATATATATATATATATATATATATATATATATATATATATATATATATATATATATATATATATATATATATATATATATATATATATATATATATATATATATATATATATATATATATATATATATATATATATATATATATATATATATATATATATATATATATATATATATATATATATATATATATATATATATATATATATATATATATATATATATATATATATATATATATATATATATATATATATATATATATATATATATATATATATATGTATGTATGTATATATGGCCTCAAATGCTCATTTATTGCTCATACTCGTAGATTAAATTACGGCCTTACCATACAAGGCATAAAAGTTCCGCAGACGGAATTAGGCTCTTAACATCGGTCGGTAGTTGTATCTTTTAGATTGGTTATCATAGCAGGTTTGACCTCAGGACTTCGTGGTATCGCATCAGTCCGTGGTATCGCATCGCCATCGCGTGGTAGCAGCATCAGTCCGAGAGCCACCAATTTTATAATTATAAGCACTCTCAATTCCTTTCTGTTATGACACCTTTGGAACGTATATTTATAGGAAGCGCTCTGAGTTAAAGTTTAGAGAAAAGTTCTTGCGTAAAGTCGCGAAGCCTATGGCCCTCTGATGGACGAATGAGAAATATCCCTACAAATTTAAATATCCAATAAGTTTTAATGCGGAAACATTTGAATTTTAAATAAATGAAATGTAACAATCAAGAATTTCATATAATTTATCTATATGTATATCTTATTCGTGGTTTTCTGATATCAAGTCTGATAAAAATCAGAAAATTTAGATAACTTTGTGTACATATCATTGATTCAATCAGGAACTTGGAACCTTAACTAATTATCGATCATTGTCCAAAATGATAAATTATCAAAATGTCTTACGTGGCAATGTTATCGATTAATTTTTACTACGTAAACGAGACGAGTATTAAAAATAAAAATATATGGCAAAAAAAAATGATTATATTTATGTAATGAGTCGAATAGGTTGCGCAATTCCGTACGTTCATTCAATCTATAGTCAATCGTGCTCCAATTAAAGAAATTCTTTTACAATTTCATTCTATTACAAATAGTTGATTATTTGATTTACTTACAACGTTATCAATTATATATACAGATGAACCCACTTATAAGTCGCGCAATTTCCGTCAATGAACGACTGTCACTTGGTTATATCATACGACAATTTCGAGTATCATCCCAAAACATGGTTATCGCCGTAAGTTTTATTTCGTTAGTTTTAAAGAATAATGACATAAATTACATGATATTATCACTACAATTATTGCAATTGATGTATAAATATATAAAAATACTATAATTCTTTTTGTAAATATGAATTATACATATATGTTGATGTGCTTATATAGGCAGGACAAAAACTACCCACAATTGATCTTTTTGAAGACTCTCCTGCAAATAAAGTGAATCTTGCTAAAATTGCAAATGGGAAAAAGATTATAATTTTTGGAGTGCCAGGAGCTTTCACACCAGGATGTTCCAAGGTATATATTTTCGAGTCTATTCAAAAATCGATTTAATGTATTCAATGTATTAATAACTATCCTTGCTTACTGAGTAACTGAATAAATAAAGGAACAAATAATATTAAATTAGTGTTATGTAGTAAATATTATAAGTATGTTAATATTTATTAAGCATTAAGGTAGTAAAACTAAGTTTTTTTTAACTATAAGAAAGTTATATTCTATGTATATAGGACAAAAATATTTCTATAGTAAAACATTTACTTTTGTATTTAAAAGAAATAGTATGGTGGATATTATATTTAAAAATTTTATATTATTTTAGACACATCTTCCTGGTTATATACAGAAAGCTAATGAATTAAAATCTAAAGGAGTTGCAGAAATTTTTTGTATTTCTGTAAATGATCCGTTTGTAATGGCAGCATGGGGTAAAGAACATGGAGCAGAAGGAAAAGTAAGATTATATTTTATTTATTGTATATATTTTGTATGTAACATCATTTTTATCAGTAAATTTTATACTTTCTCGTACAGGTACGTATGCTGGCAGATCCAGCAGCTCAATTTACAGATGCGATGGAACTGGCAGTAGATTTACCAGTACTGGGTGGAAGAAGAAGTAAACGATATTCTATGCTCCTTGAAGATGGAGTAGTTAAGGAGTTGAACGTTGAGCCTGATAATACAGGTCTTTCTTGTTCCTTGGCTGAAAATATTAAACTTTAGAAAATATAACATAGCAGTTTATTATGTAGTAAGTTATAAACAGATGCTTTGATCAATTTATAAATTCTGCCATATATAATACGTATATAATAAAATGATTATTCATTACCCAGAATTATAATGTGTCAAATAAATTATTCCATGTGCCTTAATTTTACGTAATATGCTTTATTTCATGTCCATTATTTCACATATGTACTTCTGATTCTTAAATATTGTTGTTTATATTTATCTCATATTTTTGCCCGTATAACAAAACAAGAAAAAATAATTTCACTCAATATTTATACATAAAATTATAATTAAAATATTTACTTAATCTTATAATACTAAGAACTATTATACACACACACACACACACATACGTATATACATATGTAAAATAATATTTATAGAAGTATCGTTTGTAAATTTGTATTTAATTGAAAGTGAAGTGTGTTGACAACATTTCGTCACTAGCTTCACTGCAGTTAGAAAACCAATTGTTGACGTATAATGCTTGTTTGTGTTGGAAACTTTATGGCGCCAATTATACCACTTTACTGTTAGCTGTAAATTTTTTAAAATTGTTTTTAAAAATGCCGGCGTTTTTGAAGCATATCGAAGTAGAAAACTTTAAGTCTTACAGAGGAAAGCTTATTATAGGACCTCTAAAATCCTTTACTGCTGTTGTTGGACCAAATGGATCCGGTAGGTTATGTTCTTTTATATTAGTATATGGAAAACTTCTAATAATTTCAGACCTATTATGCATTATATATTTGTTTTTAATATAGGAAAATCTAATTTTATGGACGCAATTAGTTTTGTTATGGGAGAAAAAACAAGTAGTCTCCGAGTAAAACGGTTTAGTGAGTTGATACATGGAGCTTCAATAGGAATGCCAGTTGCACGAAGGTATTTCTGGATGTTATAGACTAAAAATTTTTGTAATTATTTTAACAGCATTTATACTTACTTGTACATACTTTAACCTTTACATACTTTTAATATTATAAACTATACTTTCATATCTTCAAGTTTCAATTATTTTAGATATATAATTTTTGTTTTTATTTCTATGCTAAATTACGCTTTTATTTCTAATCATAAGACATCAAACTTCTACATATTTCAAAGTTACATATAAAGTATTTTTTGAATTTATTAAAATATTAAAAGAAAAGACTTATTATGACATACATTTATTAAAAGTTTTTATATAAATATCTTATTTGCTTAAATACACTATAATTTTCTTTTTTCTTTTACATATTTTAAAGAAATAGTAATATCTAAAATTTAATAATTTTTGTTCTTTCTCTTTTACAACATGAGAAAAAAATTGTATAAAAAACAACATCTAAAATAATTGTATTTAATTTTGTTTTTGAATATAACTTTATAATATATTATAAGATAAAGAAAAAGTGCAAGTATATAAATTTTTATACAGTTTGATTTAATAATTTTCAACAAACTAATTCAATTTTTAAATAAATTAACTTCCTTCTTTCTGAATGTGTATAAATTTGTATTTAAAGGAAATAGAAATAATTCTTTTTAATTTTATTATTTAAAATGTATCAGAATATAAATATAAGTTAGAGAGTAACTTAAAATTAAATCATATGCTTAATTGTAATATGGGTATTTTGTTTAATAGGAAACAGTGAAATATTCCATAAGGGAATAAAGTTATAAAAAAATATTTTCAAAGAAATTGTTTAGTACATAGGAGGACATTAGGTGATATAAATAACATTATTTTGAGTGTAGAAATAGAAGAGATGTCAAAGTCGAGTCAATTTTTTAAAAATAGTAATATTATGTAAAGTATTCATAATATGGTGGCATTTGTTGAGATACAAATAATAAATTAGATCTAAAGCAGTCAAATCAATGCAAATCATTAGCTAACACCTTTGAATGATGCCAATTATGCTATGCACTATAAATAAAGATCAAGCTTCTTTTCTTGTTTTATATGTCTTAGATTCATATCTTTATATTCTAACAGCTAGTTTAAGAGATGTCTTTATTGAGACAAAAATTCAAAAGTGCAATTTAACCATTCTTCTAACCTTTATAGCACCAGTTTCTTTGCTATATGACACTTCCAGTGTCCTTGAACAAGTCAATACTGACAGCTCTGGTCTGTTGGGATACTGTCTATGAAATTCTTCACTAAATCTCATATTCCACTGTTTTCAGTTAAACAAAATACCCTATACATATATATGCATATATCTGCATTTATAAACATAATATTTATAAGCATAATCTGCGTATCAAATGTATTTACGTATATGATACATCTTATGCAGTCATTATAAATTACAGTGCATCTGTAACTGCTGTGTTTGAACTAGAAGATGGGACCGAAAAAAGTTTTATACGTTCTGTACAAGGCTCTTCTTCGGAACACAGAATAAATAACAATGTAAGTTTTATATATTTCTTAGTTAGTTTAGTTAGAAATTTAATTTGAATGGAAATTTACAAATTTTCATGTGTATTATGTAGGTAGTTACTAGCCAAGTATATCTCAATGAGTTAGAACAACTTGGTATTAATGTCAAAGCAAAAAATTTCCTTGTATTTCAAGGAGCTGTAGAATCAATAGCAATGAAAAATCCAAAAGAACGTACTGCACTTTTTGAAGAAATTAGTAATTCTGGAGCATTAAAGGCAGAATATGAAAGGTAACTTATATACATAAACTTGCACATATATTTTTTATGCAATATTATCTACAGTCATATTAGTAATTTCGATATGTACATCTATTTAATTGTATATTAATTGCATATATATATATACAATTAATATATATAATTAATAATATATAATATAATAATATATATAATACAATATAATAATATATATAATATAAATTATAATATAATATATGTATATATATATAATTGTGTATGTATATACATATAGGAGGATTATTAATAAAAATGTATTTATCATTAACTAAGGGTAATCTTTATTTTAACGTATTATATAACACTTCAGTGTATCTAAAAGATAAATAATATACTGTGTAATATTTCATCTTTTTTTAAATCAGTTTCTGATAAACATGTTGCAATTATAAATAGATTTTTTACTTTTATAGATTAAGAACGGAAATGTTAAAAGCAGAAGAAGAAACTCAATTTTCATATCAGAAAAAGAAAGGTATTGCTGCTGAAAGAAAAGAAGCAAAACTAGAAAAAGAAGAAGCTGAAAAGTATCAACGTTTAAAGGAAGAATATGTAGGTCATTTATTTACTCATTAATTTCAAATTTAAACAAATTATATAATTTATAGATCCATTATTGAATCAATTTTAAATGACTTAATATTATCTGTTTCATTGTAGATAGAAAAACAAGTAGAGCTTCAATTATTTCGTTTATTTCATAATGAAAAGAGTACAGAGAATTTGGAAGTTTCACAGAAAAAGAAACAACATGAAATAGAAAAGATTGAGAAGAAGAAGGAAAAAGCAGAAGAATTATTAAAGGAGAAAAAGAAAGAAGCTGGGAAATTAGGGAGGGATCTTGCTAAAATCGAACAGGATATTAGAGAAGTAGAAGTTGAAATAACAAAGAAAAGACCCACATTCATCAAAGCAAAAGAACGTGTTGCACACATGCAAAAAAAAGTAGAATCTGCTCGGAAGTCACTAGCTCAAGCACGTATTGCAGATGAAGCTCATAAGAAAGATATACACGAACTTCAAGAAGAACTGCGACAAGTAGAAGATGCTAAAGCAGCTTATGAAGCAAGTATTGCTGGACAATCACAATTACAAGGAAGAGATGTGCAACTTGAAGATGAACAGGTAAGAAAATTCAAATGGGATTTATATATAAAAATATTTTTCAAAATATGTCATCGCAAAGTAAGATTATAAATCATTTTTCTAATTCTAATATTTTTCTCATTTTTCTAATATTATGTTATAATAATCCTATTTAATTAAAGTTACAATAATTATATATATCTCAAAATTTAAAGACCAAAGTAGTCATTATTATAATCATTATATTAAATATTAATTTAAGGTGAGGGAGTATAATCGTTTGAAAGAGGAAGCAGGTAAACAATCAGCGAGATATTTACAACTTCTTGATTCTATTAATCGGGAGCAAAAATCTGATCAAGATAGACTTGATAATGAAGGAAGAAAAAAGACAGAAATAGAGAATAAACATAAACAAAAAGGTCATATGCGAGATGAAGCTCTTAAAAGAGTAGAAAAATTAGAAGAACATATAAGGACGTCAGAAGCTGCCTTAGAAGATCAAAAAAAGTTGCGGGCCGACTTACAATCTGATGTTGGTACATCAAAAGATAAAATACAAAATTTACAGCGGGAATTAGAGAGCATTTCAGAGCAGCTAGGTGACGCAAAGGTTGATAAACATGAAGTATCAAGAACTAAAAAGAAAACTGAGATCGTAGAAAATTTTAAGCGCCTCTTTCCTGGAGTAGTAAGTAACAAATTAGATTTAATATTTTACTTATAAATCATTTTCTTACAAATTATTATTTCACCAGTCTAGCAATGTAATTGTCATGTAATTACTATTGTTATTATTATTTCTTAGTATGATCGCATGTACAATATGTGTGAACCTATTCATAAAAGGTACAATGTTGCAATTACAAAAGTTCTTGGCAAATATATGGAAGCTATAGTTGTTGATACTGAAAAAACAGCTAGACAATGTATCCAGTATCTTAAAGAGCAATATCTCGAACCAGAAACATTTCTTCCTCTTGATTACATCCAAACAAAGCCATTAAAAGAAAGACTTAGGTATGTAGCGTAAAAATAACTTTAGACATCAGCTGCATAATTTTTTAAATATTTAGAAGAGTCATTATTTCTATTCTTAACAGTATATCTTTGTATATTTTCTTACTTCTCCCTTCATATTACAAAGATTGTAGTAATTTCTAATTTCTAATTAGTTTTAATTCCTTCTGTTACGATTGATTTCTTCTTTCTCTCTTTTTGTTTTAGAAATATACAAGAGCCTAAAAATGTAAAATTGTTATATGATGTGTTACATTTTTCACCTAAAGATATTGACAGAGCTGTATTATTTGCTACAAATAATGCACTTGTATGTGAAACACCTGAAGATGCAAATAAAGTAGCTTATGAAA